GGAGGCACAACAATACCCCCAGATCGCATGTTCATCGTTTTGCGGCTGTGGTTGCGCCTGCCGCTGCCCGTCGCACAAGGCGGATGCGGGGCCCGTGGACACTGCTGAGGCGCCGCGGTCGATGTTCACAGTGATCACTCTATATGCTGCCTGCCCCGTGCCGGTCTGCTCGCCCCGGCGGGCCAAGCCGTTGGAGTGTGTGGATACGGGTCGTGCGCGAAGCAGTCGGCCCAGGGCCGGTCGTTCCACAGTTCGGGCGACTGCCCCACGTGTCCCACGTCTCGGCGCATACCGTGCCACACAGCTCGGCGAAGCGCGTGCCGCTGGTCTCGCCGCTGGCCTGCAACGCTCCTCAACCAGGCATAACCAGGCACGCGCCTGAAACCGAAGGCTAAGGCGGGTTTCTCGCCCTGCGCACGCCCATTCGGCGTACGGAGTGGGCGAGCGAGCACGGGCTTTTCTTGGTGATTCGCGCTCCCGGCCCAGCGTTGTCCCTGGTGGTCCAGACCGCTTCGCCGAGCTCGGCAAGCGCGGTTGTCAACGTGCGTTTTGCCCATGTTAGCGGCAACGCTCGCCCTGTCCTGGATCGACGTAGTGACGACATCGAGCGCTTCCCGCCCGCGAGCGGGCGTGGTCACAACATAGACGTCGTCAAGGAAGGCGGACAATCATTCAACCGGAGCTTGGACTGAGCGCCTGGATGCAAAAGCCCCAGTCCAAAAAAAACTGCATGGGTTAGATCAAAATAAAAATGCGGCTGGCAAACAACGCAGGCAAATACAAGCAAGCTCAGCTGCCGTCCGAGACAAGCAAACTGCCGTTTTTACCCTTTCCGCAAAAAAGCAAATATCAACATGCTGCCATCAGCCATACAACACCAAGATACTCATACGACTCTGTACAAGCAATCACCGACATGGAATTCAGGAAATCCAGCTCGGCCGCGCCCGAAACACATGACGCAGATTTACGTGGACCTGCAGCAAAAAGCAAAACGCGAGAACTTAGCTCACGCGGAAGTGGCTTCCAGAGCGAGCTGGAAATCACGATGGATTTCCCTCAACATTACCAGGTCGTCGGCATTCATATAAACATGAAGGCGTGGGGTTGTAAAAAGGCGGCCGCAACGGACTGCGGCGCAAACACGTTAGATCGCGGCAGCCGACGCATTGATATCATTGATTAAACCATGAACCAGGAAACCGCCGGACACCGCTCCTTGGCCCACGCCGTTTTCAACACCCCATTCGTCGAAGGCAGATGATGCAATCCGCATTGCACCATTGCGTCTGACACAGAATCGTGACACAGGTGCCACGACCTGACACCCCGGCACAAAACGCAACGTACGCACGAGACCTCTGCAGCACGAGTCCTGAAACAACCGTCTTGCGGTCAGCAGCTAAAGATCCACAATGAAGGCTGACTTGCGAATCGTCAAAAATTGGATCTACATGGTTTGAATCGGATTTGTCACTCCTGCTTGTGCAGGCCATGTGAACCACTGGAGGAATGAGTGGTCGAACCGCTTGCGGACGCGAGGGCTTGGAGCCCCGCAGTAGCACATGACGCTGCACAGGACGATGCATCTGCGCTGAGCTGTGCAGATCTGTACATTCGGGCCTTGCCTCGGCTACAAGGTGCACGCTCCTAGTTCTTCGAAACTGATGGCTGGATGGGTTTTGGGCCTTGGGGGAATGCTTAGAAACGACCACATCTCAAACGCCTCTGCGGCTTAGCAAACTGTAGCCACAAACTGCACATCGTGTTGACTCCAACACGAGTGTTGAAAAGACTTCGCAGACACAGGATTGGGTTCACGAATCTGAGATCGCCGTCTTCGTCTGCATACGGCGTGAGCAATGCATGCTTCAAAGTGTCTGGGCCACATGCACAAAACTCGTGCCAAACTGCATACACAAAATGATGAAGAGTCCAGCATTCATTAGCTATGTTGTTGATGTGTTGGTCATTTTGTCAGATAGAAGCGACATCGAGGTCCTGCTCCAAAACGTCGGCTGTAGATTGCAATGGTTGCACCAGCCTCAGGGCAGACACGCTTTGCACTATGCTCCAGCGGGGCACCTCTGGCTCGCAAATGCAAGATGATCCTCAAGCTCGTCCTGTCGACATCTGCAGCGACAGTAGCCGGCAGTGAGGCTGCTTTGCCCCCTTGCTGACCCCAGCTCCGCACCCGTCCGGCGAGCCAACTGGACAAAACGGCTGCCCAGCCCAATCCAACATATGAATAAGGCAGCGGAGAAGGGTGGAAGTAACAGGCATCCAGTGCGCAGGGTTCGCTGGCAGAAACCGTCGACCGGCCTGAGATGCCGCACGCTGCCAGCCAAGAACTGCAAATCATTGCAAATCGTCGTGGACAGGCAAAGGCGGCGCGTCTGCGTGGAGGAGGTCGTGCCAGGGGTTCCAAGCCAATTGCGGCCAGCGAGTCACAGGCAGGATTTTTGTTGCGCTCGGCCCTTTTCCCAACGTCAAGCGGTGGAGTACTACACAAAACTGCCCAGCTACGACGCTGCTCCCTCATAGCAAACCGTTGCATCGGGTTCGTGCGGGGAAACGGATAGGCCCCCGGCGTCTAGAGTTGGGCTACAGGGTTCATGCTCTGTTCATGCTTCCAAGGCGGACGTTGCTACCCATTTGGGCCCTTGCCTCTTTGCAGATGCGCGCAAGTGCTCCATCAAGGAACAGGCTCGTGCTGTGAGTGGCGGCGGGACAGCTTTTCCGAATCGCAGGCAAAAACATGCGTGGTTGTTCCAGAAAGAAAACGACCCTTATGCGCCACTCGTCTTGCACAACGGTACGGTACCCCATGCTAGCTTTCGACCAGCTACGCTGTCAATCCGTCCGCCGCTCATTTCCACCTAAAGTCAATGCCTGGTATTGTCTGGTGCCACGTTTTGTGGCTCGCGCTTCTGCATGGGGGGGGGCAGGTGATGCCTCAGGTGCTCCAGAGCTCGACGTCGTACGTCATGGACGTGTCGCATGAACTCCTCGCTTTTGATGTGAATCGCAACATCCCAATCATCCCGATTGCATTCTGCGTGCAATTGCCAATGTTCGTGTGCGAAACGATAGGCCGTGACACAGCCATCTTGCAGTTATTGGCAAAACACACTAGAAGTTCCGACCGCCCAGTCCTTCGCTTTTCTGTGCCATTGCACCCAAATTCGTCCATGCAAACCTGCGGCAAGTCTCCGCAGTGGGCTTCGTCAGTTTTTTCCACTCCGGCTGTCCATAGCTTTCGGATCGTTCTCACGCGGCTGCACTCGCGGCTGCGGAGCGGCGGTCGTGGCGGGCAGTCAGGTCGCGTGCCGCAACGTAAAGACACGATTTGCGCTTGCTGAGCATGGAGCTCGGTGGACAGACATCTTGCCAGGACAGCGGCTCGACACATCAGCTTGCTTGTGTTCTCGGAGGTCCGGTGAGCGTCGTGCAAAGCCTCCCGTCACTTCATGGGTGCCGTGCTGTGGCCGAGAGTTGCCGTCGGGCATCTCTCGGTAGGTGTCACGAGACGCGACGGTGGTGCATGCTGGCGCCAGGCGTGTCCGGCAAAGTCACAGCGGCGTCAATGTCATTTCGGTTGTGCGGCTCGAGGAGGGAGCGGCTGCAAAAGGGTTACGAGCAGTGGGGCCACGACACCTCAAATCGCGCTTAATCACAACATTCTCACTTTCACACCTCCTCGATCCGCGTCCACTGCGACTGTCCCAAAGTTCGTCGCACGCTGTGTTGTTCCCTTACAACAAACCTGCCCAAACCCCGTTCCCCCGTAGACTCCTCCAAAAGCCCTCCGCCCGGTACAAGGATGGTACCATAAATTTATTTCTGGATGATAATTCCTCCGCTAGCCAGGCTAGGGTATTCCTCACTCCCTGTACTCCGCGTACTCCACTCAGTGTCTCTAGCAGATGCGACGAAACTTAATTACCGGGCATGCTCATGGAAAGGAGTTTTAGACTGAGAAAGTTGTTGTCAGAGATCCTCTTGCACGTGCCTATGTAGACACAGGCATGTTTCGAAGCTAAAGGCCTCCGGAAAGCCACTGTTTCACTTTTGCTGGACGAGACTCACCCGAATCCATGCTGTGCTGGTCCCAAAGTTCGTCGCACTCTGTTGCTCACCTACAACAATCAACAAGCCTGTCCAAGACCCCTTTCCTCCGTAGACTCCTCCACCACGAGTCCTCCGCCCGGAACAAGTCACGTCAACTGCGTTTGATCACATGAACGAAAGCCAAACACCATGTGCACATGGCCCGAATGTGGGCTTCAACACATGAAATGTACTAGCAAGAGAAATCAAATTCTGCGTGCCACAAGTGTTCAGGCAGCTTCTGCAAAATAATGATCACACAGGCGAGGCCAAAATCACGGCAATCTAAGCGGCTTTAAGCTGTGCGGGAGTGTAGGAGTGCGTGAGAGCGGGGAGCGGCAATCCGCACAGGTATTAGAAGAAGCATCGGCAGGGGAACTGGTGATGACCCTGCTAGGAAAGCAATGCAATTCTTGTGAAAACAGCAAGATAGACGAAGGCACGGCCCACCCTGCAAAAGGGATTCCACATGACTTCACGTCATCACAAAGAATCACCTACCGTGCACGAGTTGTCACAATCAGGTTTTGTCCGTCGGCGCGATCGAGGATCCTGCTGCAGCCCACAAAGCCTTGGAACATGAACAAATCAGCTTCTCCTAGGACTGGCTTGTATCATCACTGGCTCTGAAGACAGCGGGGCGATGCTCATGTGGCATGCGCAAGTGTTTTCAGTTTTAGAACTCTTTGAGCTCCGAGTGTTGAAGCCGGCAAAGTTGCTTAAACACCCCACGGGGGCCGAGCCGGACCTGTCTTTCACAGAAGGTGCTTGGCACACATCTGTCTAGGAAAGTGCGCAACCAAGGAGTCACTGCACCGGAAAGCAGAGTGTACGCTTTAGGCTCAACTCGATCTGAGAGACTCCAGGTCATGCTTGGCCAACTGCTCGGCTCACAGCAAGTCAAGCAAGTCTGCCTCGGCGCTCAGCTGACGCCTCTTAGCTCTTTGAAGCCTCATCCGAGCGTCCGTACACGGCGTCCCTTCCGAGTGTCCGGCCGAAGGCCCGGAGGCCGGCCGCGGAGCCGCGGGCGCGGCTGCCTTTCCATGAGCCGGCGCTGGCGCGAAGGCCTTGCAGAAGGCTGCAGACATGCCGAAAGAGCCTGGAGCTGGCTTTTCTTTCTTGCTGTGCATCTTCATGCTTGCAGCTGATATCAGCCGAGGATCGTCAAAGGTTGGCGCAGAGCCGAAGTCCGCGAAGCCGGGCCTGGCACACGTGTCCGCGCTCTCCGAACCGTAAAGGCAGCCGCCTCGCTCGTCCCTTCCGAGATGCAACGACAAGTGCCCTTCCCTGCCACACCCGATAGCCAACGAGCCAAGGCTTCGCAGCCAAGGGAGCTGCAGGTGCAGAGAATCCTGTGCCCCAAAAGTGAAAGGCACTTGGCGTCGGAAGCTCTCTCGTGGCGATATGTCATGAAGTGGGCTCCCAAACTGATTTCGGTCCTGCAGTCGATGTGGCAGGCATCGGCTGGGCCTCACACATGCTAGCCAGCTGATTGAAAGTTTAACCACCTCTTTGCATCTGTTCTAGGCATCTTGGAAGATTTTGCAAGTCGGGTGATGAGATGCCAAAGCAGCACCGAGTCCGCCTGCTGCGGCATGCTGCTGAAGTCTGCGAAAGCCAGGAGGTTCTGACCGGCACCTGTCACTGGCGAAAGGAGGGATTCCGAGCATCGCGGCATTTTGCTCTCGCGATACAACTTCGGGTTGACATTTTCGACATGCCAGCCATCCGTGTTATGACAGATTGTATGTATGCTTGCATGCAGGTATTCATCAGTGCATGCATGGATGTATGGGCTGTATGGGCGTGTGATGCAAGGATTGGGTATGCATGCGTGTACGAAAGCATGCCTGTTTGTTAGCATGTCTACATGTCCGCATCATGACATTCACGTAGACATACTGACAGGCAGATAGACGGAAACAGGTGCTTAAATGCAAAGCGTACACACGCAAGGAGAGACAGAAAGAGAGAGAGAGAGAGAGAGGTAGAGGTAGAGCGAGCGAACGCGCTGTCAAGTTCGAGCCTGCATCCGGCGTCGCCACTGCCGGGGCGCTCTTCGCCCGGGACCTCGGCTAAGCGTGGAGAAGCCTCGCCCCACAAATCCTCGAGATGCGCAGCCCCACGCCGAAGCTGGAGCTCGAGGGCCCCTGCGGCGTCGCCGGGCCCAGGGCGATCAGATCGTCCAGGGCAGGAGTGGAGGCGGCGTGGTGAAAGCCTGCAGGAGCCCGCAAAAACCACAGGATCCGAGGCAAAGAACACACGGCCTGGCTGGTGAGATCCAGCATCGAGGGATAGCAGATCCTCTTGTAGGCCTTGTGTTGGGGCAATGCTGTCCACACGATGCTGGACCGAAGTTCCGAGTCTGGCACAGAATGCAATCAATTAAGTGTCCACTACTTTTGCTGCGTGGTGGTTCGGCAGCTGTGGTGACTGTTCACTTTCCCGGGGGGCCATAGCCCATGAGCCCACAGCATTTCGAAGGCAAGCGAAGCTGGAACATCCTAAGGAACCCTCCTCTAGCGGACCTTATGGCCTCCAAACGAGCGATCATTACACAACTAGGGTCCCGGACTTGGAGGTTTCGAGGCAGCCTGTATCGGTGGAAGCGTCGGGTTGCATGCACCGACTAGAGGGATGACTTTAATACCACTGGGCGTTGTAGTGCAGAACGTCAGCGTGTAGCAATGCAGCGAAGATAGGCCGCTCATCCCGTCGTGTCATCTATCATGTAACTCTTTTGCCTCGCAGCACCAACATCAGATAAATTAGGCCCCTTCCAAAAACCTAACTAGCAACGGAAGCTGCCACAGCAACTACATTGTACAAAGCCTTAGATGCCTTTCCCGATTCCCCGCCAACCTGACGCTGCCCTCTTTGAGAGCTCTGCGCATAGCCTGCATTGGAAAAAGGGGGGAGGGTTGTGCAAACGCGAGCTCACCACAGACAGCGCGGCAGCCTGCACTTCCGTTGGTGTCCGGCGACAGCGCAAACCGAACATCAAACCTCAGAGTCCCAAGCTGGGCAAAGGAAAAGTGAGGCCTTTTGCAACAGGTCTTTGGAAGAAGATGATGGAGGTGCAGCTACGAAGCTTCTTGTTACATAGGTAGACGCGACCCTAAACCCTCATGGCCCTAATATTTTCTAATGGCCCTGATATTTTTCTATGCCTTCTTCTGGTGGTGGTCGGGCGAGGCTCTGAGGCTTTGGCCCCTCCTTCTCGCGGACTTTGCCGTTGCTCTGACCGCTGCTGTGGCTCGCTGCCACCTCGGAGAGCCGAACCAATAACAGCAATACTAACAGTAACAATAAAAATAAAAACAATATTAATAATATAATAATGGTGTAATAATAATGATAATAATAATAATCACAATGATACTAGCAATGAAAATAACAACAATAATTATGTCATGGTAATCATGACCATAACAACAATAATACCAAGCCCTTAGCTTCACATCTCGGCACCTAGACCTCGTGTCCCGGAGTCTGCGTAGATGTAGCTCTAAGATGAACGGCAACGGCGACAAGCGTTGCTTCTTGAAACTGGAAGTACAGCGACTTCCCCGTCTGGAGGTCTGTAAGAATCTTGGCTCAAGGCTGCAGCAGCAGCTGACTGAAGGTTTTTCAAATCCTCGGCCGTGAGAATCCGCAAGACTTTGGGCCTGTAACTTCCGATCAGATCACCTCCCAGCTGATGTGTTGCAAAGCTTTCCGAATTCCTGCGTTTCTGTTCTGGCTGTTCCGGCTGTCACGCATCAGTGTGAAACGCTGTTGTAACACCCAGACTTTCTCAGGCAGGCACCCACTCTTTCGGAGGCTCTTTGGTACTCCTGGTCTATCCCACTCGCAGCCAGCATAGCCAGCTTCTGGCCCGTCAGAGGCCCAGAAAACCGCCTGGCCTAGCACCGTAGATGCGATCGTGCTGCAGGATTCTCTCCCTGGCAGGTACGGTCTGTGGGCGTGGCGAAGCCCAACTGCAATATCGCGAAGCAACATGGCGCCATACTGAGCGATATTTGTAGATATACACACGGCATGCGCGTACATCGTGCATCCATACAGATGTGAGTTCACACACATCTGCACAACAAACACCAGCATGCTCAGACATGCCTAGCCATGTACATGCAAAAAGCAGCAGATGCGCGCATGCGTGTAGCTACATGATTGAAACCGAGTGTGTGAGCCAATCAGCATACGAGTAGAGTCCATTACGCTGTGCAGACTGGAAGCTGCAGATTGGCTTCTACACGAGGCGAAAGCATAAACCGGAGCAGGGGCACCGGACGCTGGCCGGCATTTGCCTGGCAGCTGAAGGACATCTCCAAGCTGGCTCTGATGGGCAAGTGTTGGAAGAAGACAAACATGCACACCCAATGGGATCTCGGGACTTGCCCTGACTCAAAGCAGCCCTCTGGCAAACAAAAGCTGCTGCGGCTACAGTGACAGTGCTTCTCGCTGTGGATGTTGTTTTGACAGATTCGCTTTTCTTTGCATTGTCGCGGCTGGGAGGCAGTCACGCATGATGTTCGGGATTGCGATTGTAGATAGACTTTAAGCTGAGCTGCTCTAGTGCACTTGCTTGTTTCTTGCGGGGAGCTGTCGGTGTAGATTGACTTCGTCTTGCGGCTGAGTCAACATCTCTGGACGTCTAGCGTAGCGTGTGGGGACATTTTTTCAACGTCCTTCCTGATCGGGCCAAGCAGCCCGACAAACTCGTCGTACTCGCTCTTGCCAATTGCCTTGCATGCCTGCCACACAATGAGCTCACTTTCTGACTCATGTGACTGAACTGCACTGCAGCTCTTCAAAGCACTCTGTTGCAGAGCTCTGCTCTTCAACACGGCGACGTTGCAATTTCCGTCAACGTTGTCGACTATTTCACGTCCTGACTGCTCCAAGCAGGCTGCAATCTTCACCAATCCTCAAACACAGAATGTCGCCAGAGTCCAGAGATGCAACGCAACCAGCACTTCCACAAGCTCGATCACGGGAACATCCTGAGGGCTTTGAACGAGTCGCCCGCCTCCAGCACCCGCGGGGCCGAGGGCCGGTCCTAGAAGAAGCTCTGAGCGCGGGGAGGGCTCACAGGTTCGTTTGGTCGGTCATGTATTAATAGTAGTAGTAATAATTAGAATAAAAAGTAAAAATAATAATAATAATAGTAGTAGTAGTAATAATAATAATAACGATTTCAAACGCCTCCTTTCCGCCAGCGGCCCCGGCCTTTGGGTCTGCTGCCAGCAGCCAGTGGATCAGAGCGCAGAGTTTCGCGCTCCTCCAAAGAGATGCTTCTCCCTCAAGGAACAAGAAAGCATAACAAGAGTCTAACAAAGCTCAGGTGATCCTGGCCATTGGGTGCTCCGAGGGAATGAAGTACTTGGCATTCCAAATTGCCATGGGTGTAGCATTATCCTGACGCTGCAGGAAACATGTCCGTCACCGGATGGTGGCAACATGTGGGTAGTTGTCAAAATTAAGGTCCTTTTGGGGTACCCTAAATAATAGGTGCCGTATTATAATAAGGACCCAAAAAGGGACCATAATTTTGACAACCACCCATGTGGTAGCCAAGCACCGGCTCTAGGTCCGACTCCCAGCCTGGAAGGGATGCCGGTAGAAAGCCAGGGTATACAGGATGCAGCCCAGCCTGGATATGGCGATGCTACCAGCACCGGGTATGCAAAGCGACTTAAGTGCCCAGCATCCAAATGTCGACTTGCTCCGTAATGGTATAGCCCTGCACGCACCGATTCTACCCCCTCCAGTGCTAACACGGAATGTGCCTTCGGAGCCGGCTTCACACATGCGGTTCGACATGGCAGGGTTCTGTGCTTGATACCTCTTGGTGCTGCCTTCATTCGGGAGCACCAACACCGTGGCCGACTGTCAACGTATCTCGTCTTGGCTGGGTGCCTTCCGGTAGTTCAGCTGTACGTCCGCCATTTCGGGGGGCCTGACAATGGTAGCTGCATGTATGTAGAGCTCCTCGAGGAGCACAGAGCACATCCGTCGTGTGGCAGAGGAAGCCAGCGCCTGTACAGCATTGTCACGGTCTTGTCGATTTCCTCCTCGGCAACGGGCCGACCAGACTGCAAGGGGAACCACAGCTCCGCTCGACCGGCGCAATTGCCAATGCCCATCCCCTGACTCTAAAATTTCCAAGAAACCAACCACAGGAAACCACGACATCTGCAACACGTTCAGCTATCCTGAAACCCACAACAAGCAGAAGTCGAGGCAGATTCCCATCGCTTGCCTGCAGGCGTTGGAGCTCGCCCCTCGGAAGCTCGTGACCTGGAACACAGGCCGTACCTCCATGGCCCAAAGCACGACAAGAATGGGGAACTGAGGCGATTTGAAGCCTTCGTCACCTCACAGCGGGATCAAGAGCTTGAGTCAACTCGACTCAGCGAAGACAATTAGAGACTATTGCATGACGTTTGAGATTACACGCAGCCCGTCCAGAGGAGCACTGCAAGAACCGAAATCGCAGAGCTTCCAGTTCCCGTCACTGCCCTGCAGAGTCAGGAGCTCAAAACCGAACTTGTTGCCTCTCTCGTGGCTTTGCCTGCCTGAAGAACGTTCTCGACCTTCAGGTCACGATGCTGTATGGGGGGCCTCGGTGCTTTCGCTTGGGATCGCTAGCAGCAGCTCGCAGGGTTTCCAACGAAGGGACTGATGAGCCCTCGGTGCCCAGCCGCTGTGCGTGCAGATGTCGGACCTCATGGCGGAAACTGATGCAGTGGTGCCACTTCCTGCGTCTCGGAAGTGAGGGTTAGTCGAAACGACTTCTTACTCGACGTGTCCGACACCCTCTGCATCTCGCATAGACGCGAAGCGTGCTCGGTCCCTTGCAGCTTCGGCCACCTGCACGAAGGGGTCCATCATCTCCTCTCGGCCGAAGACGGCAGCAGTGGGAGTTTTGTTGTCCAAGCCAGCTTTAACACGTGGAGCTTGCGAGCGGAAAGGGACGAACGGAACCTTTGCCGACTGGAGTAACTGAGTAACTCAAAGAATACCTGCCCGAGACTCCAAAGCAGTTTACTCTCGCTCGTCCAAGCAGGAAGCGTTACATGCCCGGCGACTAACATCTCGAACCCACGCAAGCGGTGCACATGTCCTTGGGCGACAACTTTCCACCTTTGGAGTCCTTTGCAGGAGGCATATGCTTGCGGAATCGCAATGGCACAGGTCAACAAAAGATGGGCAAGTGCCCAGTCGACGTAAGCTGATCTGAACCTGTGCCACTAGTCTTCGTGGACACGGCCTGGAAGTCCAACAGATGACCGCTGCAAAGCTCCAGCAGAAGCTTCACCATGCCACTGCCGCCTGAATCACTGAAAAACAGATGTGCACGGCTCATCCAAGGTCATGGATGCTCCAAGCGCCTGGACGCTGTGGAGCATCGATGGAAAATCCGAAGCAGCGGATGATGTTCTCGTGCGGGGGAAGTTCGCTCAAGATCTGCGCAGGAACGGTCCGCAGCAAGGTGAACGGACCACGTCAAGCTGCTCACCATTCCTGTGCAGTCTCATTTGTCCCAATCTTTTGCCAACCTGGACCGCACCTTCTCAGGCTGAGATAGATGTTATCCGAGGACTAGCTTTCATCGCACTGCCAGTGCCTCAACCCATCCTCCCTCTAATAACCAACATGTAGTATCCATGTTTGGTTTTGGATGGGTGGGCCGTAAATCCCTCAAAAAGCAGCAAGCCGGCGCAGCACATGCTTTTCTCGTCTCGTGTCAATCGATCTTGGAGTCCGTGCAATCACGGACGAATTCAAAACAAATCTTACAGTTTTGCACATGGGTGTAATGGGTGAATCATAACGATTCTGTCGGTAGAGAAGGCAGAACCATTGGAAAAGCAGGCTTTGGCACAGGCCGTGGCCTCATCACAGTTCCTGCGCCCGGCTAGCCCAGATGATATGCTTGGGACTTCTAGCACCCTAGTATCACACTGTCACAAGACAGTAGCGACGCTAGCAGCAACTTGGACGATGGGCCGCACCAACTCTACCCGCATCATGGCATCTGCTTCGGTTCTGACAAGTCTATGTAAATGACTGCCGTGAGCGAGCCCATGCTGTGATGACGAACGATGGCTCTGCCTTTTCATCGCCCTGCACGGAAACTCCGCGCAGGACAATGTCGGCCTACAGCAATACATCAGCTCGTCCTCCTCTGAAAAGCTGCAGAGCGTGTAGCTCTTTCTTCCAGCACCGTAGAGCCCTGTTCGATTAGCCTTCATGCCATCAGCTGGCAGTTCTGTTCAGAATCGTCTACCAAAGACAGGGGAAGGAGAGATGATCTGTAGGGTGTACTTACTGTTCATGGTCGTTGCGAGCCACAGCCGAGTCACTTAGTCACGATAGCCCAGCTGCTGTCGTCATCGTCGTCGTCTTTGCCGTAGTTGTCGTCATTGTCGTCACTGTCGTCACTGTCGTCGTTCTGCTAGAAGGAGGACGTTGCAGAAATAGCACTAGCGGCAGTGCCTTCTGATCCCTCCTACTCCTCCTCCTCCTCCGATGTCGCTGTCGCTGTCGCTCTCGTTGTTCTCGTTGAAATAATTGCAGCAGCAGCAGCAGCAGCAGCAGCAGCAGCAGTAGTAGTAGTAGTAGTAGGTAGTAGGTAGTAGTAGGTAGTAGTAGGTAGTAGTAGGTAGTAGTAGGTAGTAGTAGGTGGTAGTAGTAGTAGTAGTAGTAGTAGTAGTAGTAGTGGCAGTCAGCATTCATCACACTCGTTTACTG